CAGCGTCGCGGACCCGGGCCTACAACCACGCGGATGAGTGACCGCGTCGTACGATCGCGAACGACGTATCGCGCCGGAGGTAAATGAGTTTAAATCGCACATTTTTACCGAGTTCCTAAAGTGACGCCCCGTCCACTCGAGGCCCGCATTTTCCCCGAGGAATAACTTGAAGGGAAAGAGGGAAAGGCTTTGTGCTACAAGCGTTTTACCTTCTTCGCGACTGCGTTGAACATTGTGTTAAACACCGGAGCGTCGGTTGCCGGGTTAATGCACTGTTGGCTCACGATAAAATTAAAGGAACAAAAGGAAATTGGGAGGAAAGCGAGAGAGAGGGAGGGAGAAAGAGAGAGAGAGAGAGGAAGAATGATGAAGTATGAAATATTCGTGTCGCGTGACACTGCAATTTATCCGTCGGTGCAACGTCGTTAATACCGGTGCCTACGTACCGTGACTTTGTCACGGAGCGGCGCGCTGCATGTGAGGAGAGTAACGTGTAACGATCCGCGCGGAAAACGCAAGGTACACAAGGCCGAGAAGGTGGATTTATCCCCGACAACGTTTGCAATCATTTCGCAATTACGAATGCAGCGGGACGGGGGGGGGGGGGATGACGCGGGTTGGCTAACGCGGTGAAAATAAATCGTGAAATAACTAACAATCTGCGCCTCTCTCCCTCTCCCCCAATCGCGTGCATATCGAAACGAATTGATTAATAAAACACGTCAACAATATCGTCGGCGACGAGACGCCGATAAAAGATTGATTAAATGCGCGGAAGCGGTTACTGCGACTGGAAACAGCCGTGAATAAATCATACGTGGATAAATGGCGCGATATCACGAATAAATTTCTACATCTGCGACCAAGGGAGAGGAGACCGATTATGCGATAACAAATAAATTTATTATATGCTCATTGTATTTTCGCCTGCATTAAAACTAGTGAAATAAATAACAGCCGCTGCATTCTATTCTTCCCGTTCCCTCACTTATCTCGCGGGCGAACGCGACGGTTGGGATTAAGGTCCATTTACACATATTTGTGAGGTATCAGTGCCGTGTCCAGTGGTGATATATCAGTGACGGTTAATCACATCCGTACAGTTTGGATTGAGTGACTTTCAAGGTGGCTCGAGTTTACGGATGACGAATTGGCAATAATTACTGTAACTTCAGACGAAGAAAAAGAAATAAGATTGAAGAAGAAATAAGATCGAACGGCACGAATACGAGACGGTGCCGGACTGCGTCCTCGTGTATTAGGCTTGAAGCCTGTTTTATCCAGTTCGTTCTGGTACTTAGAGCATTTGGTTTTACCTTCGGTAGGCTGCTAACCTTGCCGAAGGAAACCTCCCATCTGGAAGGCTAGACCCCTGAAGGGGTGTGCGTGGCAAGTTACTCTCGGTGACCACTTCCCTTCGGGAGACTCTGAAAAAAACCAGAGCGGTGACCGCGGATTTGAACTCAAGACTTTCTGTTCATTTGTTTACGAAGCAGCGCAGATTTCTCCGCGCCACACTCGCCACTTCTGTGCAAACACGTCCATTAAAAAAACACGAAAAGAATATTTGTTATCACTGACACTGATGGAAATTCACGGAACTGAACGGACACCGTCACGGATGTGTGCAAATGAACCTTTATCTGTGTCTCTACGTGTACTGGCGACAATATCGTCGCGGGTGGTCCCGACGAGACCCGACAATCATTCCGCAATTACGGATGCACCAGAAGACGGAATACAGCAAAAGGAGGACCAGGAGAGGAGGAGGTGGAGGAAACAGGGAAGCAGAGGGAGGGACAACACGACGGAAATAAATCTCCGCGTGATTGATCGTTCGCCATGAATCGCGCGCCCGGGCGATATTAATGCACTATCAGTCGTGACGGGTTTGCGCGGATGGCTCGCGTGTACCGCGCGTGTAGCTTTGACGAGTCTGTCGCTCGTCGCCTCTGTCCCGATATTTATGCGCTCGTTTTTTCGCGGCGAGACCAGGGTTACGGGGGAAAAAAGGCGGCAGGCACCGCCTGAAATTTCACGCGCGTCGAGATATAACCGCGCGTTTGCTACTGCATTCTGTTCTTCTTCTTTATTCGTTCGTTCTCCCGCTCCTCTTTCCTGGTACGTTGATGGCTCCCGGAATATGGAGCACGACAGCCGGTACCGTCGTGAAATCTAGCGTAGCGTAACGGCGCGGCATAAAGGACGAACTGGTTTCCAATTGATTAATAAAGTCTCGCGACTAGATATTTCATCTGTTGTCCTTGCGTTCATTCAGAGACGCGTGTAAAAAGGAATTGAGGAGTAATCAGAAGGAGAATATCGATGTCGTTTCTCCCGTGAAAAAATTAGCAGACTTGGAGCGAAAGAGATGCTTATTGGTAAAACCATTTGTGTTTCGAGATAATAAAGAATATAATTAACTTTACCGATAAAAAGCAAATGTCTGATTATGTCCCGCTTGTTTCACTTACAGTGCGGCTATTATTCGACTCCGAATTCTACTTCTAAAGTTTAAAAAAAACATTGGGTTTAATGTCAATACGAGACGAGGATCAGGTGTAGTGGAGATGTTCGAAGGAAAATTGCCGGATTGCTTTCACAGAGAAGCGAAAGACAACTTACGCCGTAAGAGGATGCTTTGTAATTAAGTTGCATTAGCAAACCCGGCCACGTTGCGTAGCCTAAGAATTCATAATAGCGATCTGTGGGAATCGATTTCCGATTGGATATCGGACAAGCTTCCATCCGCGATCCGATCGCGATTGCCCCGACCACGATTCACATTGTTTCGCAATCAAAGCGGCATGCTTCCAGTGTCGCGAGCTCGTCGACATCGATCAACGCCTCTTGCTGCTAATATTCAAGCCCGAGGAAATGTATATAACTAACCGAAGAACAAGATTTTGTCGCTTTACGACGCTGAAATTTAATTTGCTGAAATTGCTTTGCATTTAAACGTTTTCCATTGAAATGTTAATTACGAAAGTGTAACGAGGTGAAAAACGACACTTTTCATCATGCATAAAAAGTGTTACCTACGGTCAGATGGAAAAGATCCTCCCGCCTGGCTTATATAGAAAACAATAAAAGAATATTTAGACTCTCTTTTTTTCCGGTGACTCTAACTGACTACATTTCTCCTCACGAAGAGCCTTCGAATGTCGTAATCCGACACCTTGATGGATCAAAGCCACGACAACGTCGTTAAAGGTGGAGCCGGCCGTTCCCTCGTCGTTTCCGCTTCTCCTCTCTTTATTCCGGTTGGTAGTATTTCTCGGGCCGCGTAATGTCAGCAGCCGCTAAAAAAAAGCGTTCAAGAGGAGAATGTGGAGTAGTCTTACCTCTCCAGAGGCGACTGCCTCACCCGGAATGAAGAGTTCCGGGTAAACGTTGTCCAGGTACCACTTGAACGACTTGCACCCCAGTTTCTTCCTAAGAGTCTTTCGCTCCGATACGTCGCCGTAGTTCCCCTACAAAAGTTCAGTGTGCAGTCTGGTTATGTTTACAACGAGATAAAGATGAAAACTACAGAAATATTGTGCAGATATTAAAACAAAAACACAAAGAATACAAAATATAGGATGAAGATTAAGAGATATAGAGATAACAAAATTCAGAAATTTATAAAACAGAAAGGATAATTAAAGATAACTGTCGATTAGAAAGAAAGCAGGGTGAAATAAATTTGCAATTCATGGAAATTTTTTTATCCCAGATCAGACGACATTCGTTAAAAATGTCTCCCAGCTACATTTCAAATTAAGTCGCAGAACAAAAGAATCGACGAGACAAATCGTCCCTCTACAATAATGACAGTTGTTCCACCCGATAAAGTGTTGTGTTCAAGACCGTCTTGGGGACGCGTGTATCACCCAATCGTTGATGTTACTACTGCAAACGTGCGCCTAAGGATAGAGGTAAACAGCGAGCGATTTATCTCATTATATTATGAAGCCATCCATGAGGACGACATTCTCGATAGATTCGATCATTACATAGAGCGACGTGCTTACGGAAGCGATTTATTCTCTACGCTTCGATTTATCTCGCCGATTGGATCTCGGCAGAAGAGCAGGGGCGGACAAGCATCAAGGATAAATGACAGATCGTTATAGAGGGAGACGAAAGAAACGTCCTTCAGGGGAGCGAGGACATGCGCGCGAGCCTTAAGGGCACTTGGCACGTTTATGGCCCTTTTTTACGACGAGTCTTGGACTACGATCCTCTCCATCATCGGCCACCTTTATCGTTATCCTTCATCCCATCCCAACCAGCCAACCCATTCAGCCAATGTTTACGAGAAACTTGGATTAAAGAAACATAGTCGATGGTTTACCGACACGCCGCAGCAAGAAACGTAATCCACGGCTCACGGCCAAAGGTAACTTATCGTTAATTATCTATTTTGTGACGGGGACAGCGTGTGTTAAAGCTCGATATATCATCAAACGTAGGTTTTCCATTACATTCTACACGTTTGCGCGACTATTATAATGCTGGACGTACTACATCTCTATTTTCATTAAAAGTCATGCAAGATCCTCCTCTTATTTTACCGCGCAACCCGAATTCTACGAGCTCCCTGCGGTGAGGCGCTACTCCGACAGCTCCCCCGTTGCATTTTCACGAGGGGTCGTGTTCACGAAAGGAAACTTATGCATACGACGATGCACAAGTACTCACCTTGTCGTGACCTATCCTCTGATAGTAGTACTTGGCGTACTCGTCCAGCCACACTTCGCTCAGCCTTATGCTGTTCCTCTTGAGCACGTTCACGCCGCTGCGCCACTTGTAAGGCGAACGTTTCCTGAAGATGTGACCCACGTGCGAGCACGGCACGATTTCCAGGGTGCCTGCGAGCGCGTCGGGTTATTGGATTAACGTTTTCGGCTGCATTACGTTTGTACGCTCCCGGCTAATTTCGCCAATCGCGCAAACGCAAAGTAAAGGCGCGGAGACACGTTTGCATAAAGTCCATATTTGCACGAACATTTTTTTCGACATAGAAAACAGCGAAAATAATAAAGAGAAAACAATTCGCGCCGGGAGCGAAACGAAAAAAACAAAGGTGATGAATTAATTCGCGTTGTATGAAGGGAATGTAACCGTTTGGAGCGTCAGCTTCCCAACTTGGGTAAACAAGATTCTTCTTTGACGTTACATTAATCTCGTGCTTACCTCCGCACATCCAGGTTTTAAATGATAATTCAAGATTCTCGCCGCCCCAGATGTCGAAGCCGCTGTCGTACGTGCCGATCCGTTCGAAGAAGACGCGATCTATCGAAAAGAGGCCGCCAGCCATCGTCGGCGACCAAACGGGTTCGGCCGGGTTTTTGTGCCTCTTTCTCTCCCTCTCTGGCACCGCGTGCCAATTGAACTTGTTAACAAATGTTAATATACGTCAGAAATTCGCCCGCAAACGAGCTGTCGTGACTTTCTAATTATTAATTACCAAGTTGATGTAACTTTATAAAATAAGAGCATTGAAAGGGGGATCGTATTACTGTCAATCATATTAGGTCGGTCGGAAAGTCTTGTCGTATTTTACGCGCCCTTGTCTTGCATAAAATACGGAAAGACTTTCCGTCCAACCTGATACATTTCCGTTTTAATTAGTTCACTGATTTTCAGTCGGCTCGTGTCTCAGTGCATTAAAAAAAATGTATGCAAAACATTCTGTAATTGAATGCAGTCTCATAAATTACTCTCCGAGCAACGATACATCAATTTCTTTCCGCGTAAATAATTAGCTCGGTGTCACGCTGTCGCGCGCGAGAATCAATTGCATTCCGCCAAGACGTATTCTCTACCGTTTCCCGACGCTCGCAAGGGAGCAGCGTGAAGATTTCGTTTACCTGGAGATTCCAATCGAATCCACCGACATTTACGCCGCCCGAGTCGCGCCAGTGGTATTCCAGGGTGGTGTCGTCTATAACATCGATCACCGGACAAACTACCGTCGTCGGATCGCGCGCGATCCGATCCAGAAGAGGCTCCAGCCAGCCCTCCGTACACTCGCAATGGCTATCCAGATACGTGAGTACCGGAGCTTTGGCTGCCGCGGCGCCTAACAAGCGCGCCCTGATAAGACCCTCTCGTTTACTCGCCCTGATAATCCTCACTTTCGGATAATTCATCATATAGTCCTCCAACTGACGCTTCAGATGAGCTGCGGAATGATTGAGTTTTCGTTATTCACCATTTCTCCCGAAGAAGCATCGAAACAACAAAATATCGCCGCGCGTAATATTATTAATGTGTAAAAAAATGTTTTAATATATATTTCACATTATTAACCTAAATATTCCGATACATAGGCGAAAGTCCTCTATTATCAGATAGCAAGTTTGCATCACCCAAATTCCACCGCAAATCTTTTTTCGCAACGATTACACGATCTAACAATGAATTTTTTATCAAACAGATTTCGCTCCAAGGGCGACAAATTTATGATGGAATCAACAGATCAGGCCTATTAATTTAACACAAATCCCGCTGTCTCGTATTAGGAGCCTATTTCATAATAGGGGACTTTCCTCTGTTATTATAATTAGATAAACGCATTTGTCACATTGTTCCATCTCAACTTTGGAGTATTTTGCATACTTTTTACAGGAATGTTAGCGTTTAATATTAAACGGCTGCATAATTCACGGCATAATCTCGTAATATATGACGCAGCGTTATTGACGGAACTTGTCGTCTTTAATATCAGGATTTGCTCGAATATTAATCTCGCGGGACCTGCAGGTTTTGTCTCAATACCGTTGTTTGCTAGACCGATTTGGAATATAAGTTGCCCGCAGGATCTATGCCCCAGCGAGGGATAAAGCGAGACTACCCGGTTTTGTCTACGGTTCCTCTAATGTCGATTACGTTCTTAATGTCAGCTTACGGTTTATTTACGATGTCACTCGCAGGCTGTTGCGGCAACGACAATCACCCCCGTCGTATATTCATTCTCTATTTACAATCAATTTAATCGTATGCTAGATGGAAACAACGGTAATCTTGTACACTGGCGTTTCCCCTATATGTATGTATATGGATCCGTGCATACACGGATTATTAACATTTTATCGTCGACTTGGCAGAAAAGTAGTCACAATAGCTGCTTATGGTTGCAATAAAGATTGTAGCTGCTTATAGTTCTAATAAAGATTACGTATAGACTAACCCTTAATCCGCCGCTAAAGCATCCTAACGATCGAATGCGAAAAGGGGACGTAGTTTACAAACTTTACGTTTGAAGACTTGTTTAGCAGGAAAATAATAGGCAATGCAATCAAGCTGTAATGAATATTAATATTGCTGTTCGATTAAAAGGAGGTTTATCGCCACGGCGTTGTATCATTTTCGTAATTTTTGTCCCGCTCGAACGCAGCATAAGTCTTGATTAAAAGAAAGAATGGCACCGGTGCCGTCACCGAAAGGCTCTAAATGCCACTTGTATCCTCGCGTTATTTCTGACAATCGCAGGCGAGATGTAGATTTACGACACGTATCCACCTATAATTACGGATCGTCGGGCAGCAATTAGCAGATATTCGTGATTTATTCTCCGTTAGGATGGCTTTATGAGGGACCGCGCCACTAATCCTAAGCCTCTGCCCTGTAAGCTCGGTTAACTATGGATAGTATAATGGGATTCCACGGATCAGCGTGTTTCGTGCAAGCGCAATGATTACCGGACGAGACGCCGGCTTGATTTTATGCACCCTTTGGCTGGGCCGCGCGCGCCTGATGAGCTTTAATACAAAATCGACACGCCCGGCGCACTTCCGTTTCCATCTCGCTATCTCTTCAACCATTCCCGTATTCCGATATCGATTCGCGAAAAGAATTTCACCGTGCCGAGATGGGAAAAGTGCAGGGGGATCGCTGGCACGCGGATCTCGCCAATAGTCACGAATTGAGAAAATGTTTCCCTGCAGGTGCACCAAGGTGCACTGGAACGAGCCACGCTACTGCATACTCGTTAGCTTGCACTCGAACGAGGGGAGATGGACCGTAAGAAATCAGGGGTCAGAAATTTAATGCACGCATCTGGCATGCGCACGCGGATTCCGCGCGCGCGGATTCCACGCGCATTCCAAACCGAATTAATTTCTAATGAGTTCCTCGAACACACAGAGGCACGCATAAACCGGCCGTGGCCATTATTGCAGATTTCATTATGACTTTGCTGAGTGCACTATATGAGGCGTAGATAATGGAAACGCTCAAAGAGCACCAGTCCGTCGCCGTCGAGAGCGCTCATAATTAACTCTGTAATCCGCGTCGCCAATCCCTTATATAAAAGCTAATTATCGTGCGTGCATTTTCCCGAGGAAGGCTACGGTCCACGCTGTAACATTTATTACAACTTTCTTGCGGACTTAATTAATTATTAAATTAATTTTAATCCACGCTGCACGTTTTGGCGGAGGGGACGAAGGGATAATTACTCTAAATATACTTAAAAAATGATTACGACGCTGTGATGTAATCGATATTGTTGAAAAGAAAATTACAGTGACAAAGCATCGATAACGAGAAAAGGATTAGATATTAAGACTCTCGTGAATTGCCTAAGTTGCACCCTCAGAAAGAATTTCCGTTACTGAGACGAAAAATATTCTTGACGCATTTATATTTCTCTCACAACCTCATTTAGTATAAAAAATAGGACAATATCAAAATAAAATCAATAATTCTCATTCTCCTCTATCGAATTGAAGAAGATTGACTTACTATACTGAGACAAGAGTAACTTTATATATTCTTGCGTTTAGAATAAATTTTCCCTCCATCTTACAACGCACCAAGTTGGCACCATACTATCATTTTAATCTAGATTTTAGAATTTTTCATTTAAGATTAAAATATTCCTTTCTCTATAATAAATGTGCTTGGCGCTATATCGATCCTATTTTATGATACATTCAAGTGTAATAGCATTGGATCCGGAAATTTTTTCTGCGGGTGTGCAATCTTAAATTACAAGTGCACACCAAGTCGTTTACCGTTCATATTTTTTAACTATCCTCGTAAAGGAGGGAGGGAAAACACAGTGTATGAGGCACAGTGCTATAATCTTCTTCCGTGATAAAGCAATCAGTTGTCTATTAATAGCACGTACAAAGCTGCCTAGGAGATCGTTGAAGCAAGTGATTATGTTTATAGGTTTAACTTCCGGCCGGGACGAGGGCTTATCTTGAGCTTTTAATAAAGATTGCAGCGACCATCCTGGCCATATTGTTTTCTCGAACCCAGCTTAATCTCGGACACCCTTTTTCTCGGGATTTTTATGTTCATCCACCTGTATTATACGGTAGTAGGATTCCGCGGCGATTACCGATCGCCGATTGCCCTCTCGACCCGATGATGTGACGATAAAACCGAAAAGTAATACGATATTTTCAGTTCGCGAATGCTGTCGCAAAATGTCATCTATTTCGAAATTGATATTTCGCATGTATCGACGAGGCATGCTTTTTAAATATAACTGGCGTTTGTAAATAGTTTATATAAATAAAGGTCTTTTTTTCTCGCCAACATCGATTTCAGTTCTGCTAGTTTCGTAATTTAGATTTCGATTTAGTGGCCGTTGTATGAACGCCAGTTTATTCGAAAACATGCAGGCTACGTTGGAGCTATAATTGCCTTTTTGCATCCAAACAATACGTACGGGCGTACATATTTGTTTCGCCCGCATTTGCGAAATTGCGTGTTTGATATATTTCTATCAACTTCATGTGCGTGCCTTTAGGCGAGAAACCGACAGATAAACGCGAATAATCACAAATGCAGTTTTTCAAGTTAATAAAGATCAAAACCTGAATAAACGACGAATATTTTTTCAGCGAGGTGTACATATATGTACGGGTTCTTCGTGTCGACAAACAGCATTTATCATCGAAAAATACGGGCAAAGTTTCAGATATTTTTTCTTCTTCTAACAAGGGAAAGCTCGGCAATCCAAAAGTTTCTAAAAGTCGTAAAAATTATAGAAATAAAGTAGAAATCAACCCATCACATACAGCCATTTTCTGTTTCGTTCCAATAACTTGTTTTAAACATAAAAACAACTATATGAAAAAGTCAAAGAAAATCTGACTTTCTATTCTTCCGTTGAAGTCTTGAAAGCCAACGTACAGGACATATTAAAGAATCAGATTCCCTTTAAAGGGGTGCTTTCAGTCTTAGAATCGTTTATCAACGGAAACGGAAAAATTGCTATATAATTAGATTCACATGCTTTTATTTCTGTGCACATTCAGATTTTAATGAATTTTCGAGCTGTCGGGGCTTCCGCGCAAGAATGTCCCCATACTCGTAATTTTCAGCATAATGTGGTGGTGCGTCCACGCTCGATTTCAGGAAACGAGAACAAATGAGGACGTTAAACTTATAGAGAGCCGAGGCAGAGTTTGTATGAACCTCCCGTAATTTTCAGAGTGTCTGCAAAGCAGGCAGGGAGTTTCTCTTCTATTCACGTCGCGGCGGCACAGTGGAGAGATGGATCGCAATTAATCGATCTATCGCGAAACTACGAAACACTGTCGCGATAACGAATCACCGTTCTGAATGGAGACGCGGTTGCACGAGCAAGTACGCGAATATAATGGCTCGCGGTTTCCGCCCGCGTTCTGTGCTTACGAGTTCCCCTCTCGAGCGTTCTATCGAGGATTTTTCATCGCACGGCGATGAGAGCCGCACGAGGATTTATGGCGCTACGGAAACGATATGCTATTCCGCTTCGATCGCGCGCAGAAGATATTTCGTTTTGAATCCAAAGTACGTGTGCGGTTCGTGCGATAACGTGAGAGTAACTCGTCTACTTTTCCTTTTTACGCGAAAGAAATATTTTAAATATATTATGCGCGTCAGAGTTGCAATTTACGTATCAATTTTCTCGAATAAACATATGAATTACTTGGCGCAATTTTTCAATATCGAAAGACGAGGTGAAATCTAGTTTGAATCACGCGTGAATAAAGGAAAATCCGCCGCGTGTTATTGGGCAATGCAACCATTTTAGGGAAAATAATAACGGCCACTTATTAACTGTTACTAGTAAAAAAGAAAAGAACTTACGCATGTCGGAGAAATCATCGACCAGAATTATTTCTTGTATGAGATGCTCCGGCGATCTATCGAGCACGGAATGCACTGTACGCAACAGTACGGACCACGCTTCATTGTGGAAGCAGATAATTACCGCAGTAGGCGGAAGGTCCTTCAAGTATCTACCAGACTCCTTACACCTATAACACAAAGGCATGGAAACGATCATCAAATAAACTGCTGGCAATCATGCGGGGGATAAAAATCGTGTTAAAGATACATCTCGTAGGAATGTTACTAACGAGGCAAAAAATGAAGCCAGCGTTACGCTTCACGATAAGTATAGGTCTTGTTCACATTCCGCTAATGATATTAATGTCGACAGCGGATTGTTTGCAGAACGAGGACGCGCGCCGTGGATCAGTGGCGCGGCCAAATCGAGTTCTTGATCTGCAGACCGCAACAGGGATGATTACGTGAAACCGATAATATGTACGAGAAGATATGTCAGGAAAATACGGTAATACGATTAAGGCAGGGAATGTTCGCAAACTAAACGCCCACGAGGTGTACGCCCGCCCGGAGCTCACCGCAAAATGAATTCCAGGGATGCAGGGATTGCGACTTCCGGACCTAGTTAATGCACCAACACACAGCTGGTCGCCGACACGCGGCCGCGGTTTATGGATACGGCAAATAAAATGCGTGCACCCTTCGTGTCTTCGCAACATCCGCGAGAGTTCGCGCGTTTCTATGTACTAAGGTAGCCTCGTCAAATTCTATGCGCCTGGTATTTATCCAATACTTGAAAACTTTTCGCTTATACTTGGCGCGAGACACTACCATGTCTCGTGATTTACTCTGTCGCACTCACCATTCGCGATTTCGCAATCTCGCAATGCACTCGGCACGTGAACACAATTCAATTCAGAATGAATGTCTTTGTAATTAGCTCCACCATAAATATGTACGCTTCCACCCATGAGATAATTATCATATATTAATTCAAAGTATTCGCTTGTAATTAGCGCATTATGCTGCAGCCGAGAATAAGTACATTGTACACGTTACGATCGCGCGCGTTGCGTGCTAATGAAGCGATTACGAGAAGTGCCATTCAATAACAGCCATTACTATGATTACCATCTGTGAATAATTTCAATTAACAGCTGCCAGCACACGCACCGCTCACGAAATGTACTGTTTGCCAAATTTCCGATTTATCCTTCCTGATGTACCGAAGCGAATATCTACTCGTGAATCAAGTCTCTTCATAATCAGTTTCCATGTCGCATTGGAGGCGTATCAGATAAAATGTAAAATTCAATCTACATATGTCTATACGTATACAAATGTACACGTACCTATGTGTGTGTGTGTGTGTGTATTTTATCATTGGCATAATAACAATAGCGCGGAGTGTACAAACATGACGGATATTAGTTAACATGAAGAATGGTCAAGGAAATGAGAGGTAAAATAGACAATAAAATTGCGAACAATGATAAGCCGAATAGATAGGGGAAGAAACTTCTTGAAAACAGTAGTCGACTTCATCATTTTGCAGGCCGGAGTATAAACGCAGATATACAAGAGGAAGATTACATCGAGATGCAGTATATTTTGAGGCTCTTCAGTGGAAATTGCAAGATAAAATAATACCATTGATTAAATGTCGATAATATTACGTACAGGTAGAGCATGAGTATTTTACATTTCCATTGCTGCACGTGGTGTCACATTTATCCGAAATAAACGCTTGACAAATATAAAGAATAGTAGACGACGTCGCGTTGAATTCTCCATAAATTGTCGCGGAAATTTATACGTAATTCGTTTTTATGAACGTACGCGATAAATTCAGCTACGCTAAAACAATGTAAATTGTGAATTGTAAGACGTATCACATGATGTGTGTAATTAAAATTGTTTACACGACGTGGTAAAAAGAAGCGTACTACAAAATTGAAAAGAGAGAGAGGTTTCATTTTTCCGTTTCAAACGATTGTTATGTCTGACGTAAAGATACGAATTTATGGTCAGACTTAACAATCGACGCATATCATATTAACAATAACAAATTAATAAAATTCGTACGGCTCAAATTGTGATAAACACAAATTTGAAGGAATAAAGGACTAAGAGCCGCGACAGAGTGTTAGTGTCTAAATATTTCATTCTTTTATTGCCAAGAAATATCACCTCAGCCAGGGTTTGAACCTGGACCTCCCTCTCGCGAGGCGGGCGTCTCAACCAATTCGACCACCGAGGCATATGGAAATATTCATCGCAATAAAATTAATAAAATTAAGGCGGAGATGAAGCTTGAATTTAGACCAGAAAAGAGCCAGAGGTGTCTCAAGAAATATTCGCTTAATTTTAACGCAGATAACCAACCTAATCTTTTTTTATATCTACTCGTATTTTTACTACACGTGACGTCTAAGAAAGATTTTATCAGTTTCTAGATCTGTTACTAATCCAATATAGACTCGAATGACGAGACACGCCCGGCGGGCGTCGAGGTTTACACATCTTATAACTCAGTTGTCTTTCAGATACGTGAAATTTCTCGAATACTAGAAGCATGTGACTTGGTGATTCCGATATTTTCTTTGCATTTGATCCTTGCATGTTGACTCCACTATTTAAATAGAAGAGAGATTTAAATCTGAGTCGGTGTAACATACAGGAATATAAATTTAAGTAAAAAATATTCAGTAATTGTAGGTACAATTATATAACTGTATGAATAATAAAATATAAATTAATACGAAAGTCCGAATATATATTATGCAACCTGTTTATATGTAGATAAATAGTATATCAACATTTTATGAAGAACTGTATTTAATTTTTACTATACCTACGTTATTTTTAGATATAGGTTAACAAGTTACGTTATAAAATACGCAAAACGTCATAATAATTTTATAAAAGTGTTCGCAACAATTGGAATAAATATTTAACCTCCAAAAACTATCTCTTTTAGTGGAATTTTTATTAAAAGTTAACGAAGCTTGCAAATATATCGTATAATCTATTTCTAAAAGTTGCAAAGAAAAATATTTTACAGCAGGAGTTATTGATTTACAAAATATTCGAGTCTTCACGATAACAAAACGTAATACAATATTAATCGAAAAGACCAGAGTTTGTGTTTTGTTCTTCACGTGTATTCTCTAAAATAACATTTTATCAGTGTAAAACGCTCTCTATGTTATCGTTGATTGCGTATCTGATGCGCCTTAACCATACATCAGATAAGCTTTTGACTAGAAAAGCAAAAGAGGCTCGCAAACGCTCGAGCTGAATCAACGCTATTTGCATTTGCATTCCTCTCATTCCGCATTAGTTTGTGTACTCAATTTTAGCAGTAAAGCCGGCGAAATTCTCATTTTCAAATGCGCGGAGCACTTGCGTTTTTAATTTCCAACATTGTCGGTGATAAATCTCGCAGTAATAACGGCTTCCACGGAGAAAATTCTGGTCGCGGTTTGTCATTATTATCGCGCATAATTCTTGCAGCAATAACAGGTTTCTTGATCTCCTTTTCTACAAGTCATTTTTATTTCGTGTTGTGAGCAACGGTACTCGTTATACCATTAACAATTTGCCAATTAATATAATTTAAGTGAAAATATAATGATACATCGACTACTCGTACACGACTGATTAATGTACGATTTTTCTGGCTTGTTGAAAAAAAATAACAAACTTGCACGTAAATTGTTAACTCGCAGTGCTACGCTATCCGGTTAAGTTAGCCGAAAAATCTTTTCCGTTTACCGTTTAAATATGTACCAACGTTCAATTTTTATATAACAGAATAAATCATTCTATCAGCTGGACGCGGGGAGAGAATTTGCCTATCAATGAGTATTTATCCTGCTCGCACAGTTTGAAAGTAAATCATAGCAATATCGTCACAGTCATATTAATATCGCGAGGACGCGCGGCCGCGAATATAAATCGCGCGCGCGGCGCGGTTCGAACAAAGTGGGAAATCGCTTAAGCCAGTAAACGCATCGATCGTTTCCAGTCGATTGACGTTCAACAGCGATATCCTCTTTCCCGTCGACAAAAGAGACTCCATTGTTGGACGGCGCTCGGGATGGGTACCTCGAAATCAGCCACGGATATCGAATGAGAAGCGGCTCCTTCGCGCGTTCAGCACATTCGGCGATCACCCTTACCGCCTCCCCTATCGCTCCACCCCGTCATCCCAATCGCCTAAACCCCGCGAGGCGTTGCACTCGATCAAACGCGTCACGTTTCATGCAGCATCCCTCCGGCCCGCATCCCGGATGTGTGGAATTCTATTTGCAAGTCTCTTCGCCATAGGCATCCCGCCTGCGGGGCGAGATCTTGACTTGTCTTCGTTCGCGGAAATTGAAGAAATAGGCGTACGCGAAGTGAGTGAAAGTCAAATACCGTGGAAGTGAGTACAGGGTCCCGCGGAAACGCAACGCTGCGCGCTGCGAGAAGAGAATCAATTTCTCGCGCCCAAATACTTCCTTTGTCGGCGGCGAGCTCTCATTTCCGATAAATCGTAATGAGAACATTCTCAGCGATTGCGTGACAAAGCGGAGTCGAGATTTTGTCCAATTAAAATTCAAATTATCGTGACCTTTCCGTTGAGCCAATTTTAAAAGTTAATAAAGCTTGGGAAAATATAATCTCCCTCCCTCTCTGTTTCTTAAAGTTTCAAAGGAAAGCGCCTTATAATGGAATTTATTGATTTGCAGTATATCCAAGTTTTCATCTCATCCCGATACCGCAATAAAATGCGAGGAAAACGTCTTAAAACTCGCAAGGCTATCAGAAAATGCAGAATGAGACGTACAATCTAATTTAGTTTCCCGGCGTAATTATATCTTTAAAGAAAAACTTTTGCGAGGGCAGCATTGCAAAATATCTGCTTCAGCGTTTCGCAGAAAGATAAATGAAAGTTTCGTGAAGCTAATTGCGGCTTTTACGAGCATCTTTCTTGCCTCTCAAGAACCGTTTGTCTACGGATCTCCAAGATTATGTTGCAACATCCGACGTGCCTTACAAATGTTTTTCCACATTTCTGCCGGTCTTCCTAATTGTACTCGTACACATTATTCGACCCGACAATCGGCCGATCTATTAGCGCGGACAACCAGCAGCGAAATGATTAGCGAATTAACGGCACTTTGTATTGTTTGCCGCAACA